TTAATGGTCCAATATACAATGGCAAAGCTCTCAGTCTCAGCATTTCTTCCTGTGGATGGCCAGCAGTGACTCAGAGCTTAGAAGTATATTATTATAGTATTAGAAGTTATTAGTTTTCTTCACAGGGCTGGGATAAAAAGTACTGAGGGTAATCTTCCACCAAGGAACTCTACTTTGACATGGTATGAGATGTAGGCACAAATAGGTAGGTGCTCAGTTCCTATAGTCAGTAGTTGTGTATGTTTAGTCGGGTTAGCTTAGATCAGATTGTTAGTTTTTGAATTTGCCAAATGTCCATAAAAATGTGACCTGATACCTGAACCTGACTAACCTGACAGCTGACCTAACCTCAATCATCACACATATTTGCAGCCTACCCAAGACCTGCATGGCAGTAGCACCCAGTTATAGGTAGGTACTCACCCTAACTCAATCTTACCTGCTAACCTTCAACTTGCCAAAAGTTAGCTCACATTGCCAAGCTGTGTCCAGGGAAACAGTCAACTGAGGAACTGGCTCATTGGGTGGCTGGTGTGAGTCTGTGCATTTAAAGTGTTTCTTCTCTGAAGCTGCTCTGCACTGCTGTATGTCATGTTAGATGCTCAGAAAATGTGGGAAATGATTACTAAGCTACTTTAGTGCTTTGTTAATGCTCGAGACATGGACAAGTACAGATCCTGCAGGGTACAGCTATGAGTTAGGTGCTAGGTGAGTAGAGTATGGTATGTGAATGTGCTGTTCCCTGTTTGACCGTAAGTATACAAACAAGCACAGGGTCACAGTTATATTCAATCTCCACATAAACATACAACAAAAACGGCCATATAGCCTAACTCCGAACACACCACAGATTACTTAAGGCTAGTTTGAAGGCACAAAAATGTTTTGATTAACAGGACAGGTTTACAATATATCCTCTGTCCTTGGGGGATCTTGCTGCCAAGTTGAGGTATGATGACTGAATTTCAGGATTGATCAACCTTTTCTTAGCCACTGCTTATATACGAGAAAGACCACATGCTTGTTTGTTTTGATTTACAGGACATGTATACAATATATCCTCTGTCCTTGGGGGATCTTGCTGCCAAGTTGAGGTACGATGACTGAACTTCAGGATTGATCAACCTTTTCTTAGCCACTGCTTATAAACGAGAGAGACCAAATGCTTGTTTGTAAACTGCGTTGAAAATTTAATGATCCACCTTCAATTCTGACGTGAAGGCGCAAATGAAATAGTTCCCTCTCCTTTTGGAATACACAAAGCAAAATATTTAATAAATTTTAGTGGATGGACAAGAGCAATTAGCATAGCTTTCCCTCAAGTTAACTTCTGGCACCGTTGATGAATTACACTGACGCTTATTCGCTTCATATTTTGTAACAAACGCGCTAAAACTGCAATATAACAGCACTATATGCTTCTTGACAAAATGCAATAGTATTAAAAATTTAGCCCTGATGGCATTCATTCTTGGTGGAAACGTAATTACAAAATATTTTGTAGTAACTATTAAATTCCGGCCGAAAACAGTGCACGGTTTAAAAAAGAATCATTCCAATGACGGTCCATTCTTGCGGTCCTGAAATCGCCACTATTTCCGGCCTCTCCAACGCAACTCGTTGTCCAGACGTAAATATGCCACCATACTGGGCTTCATACTGAATTTTGCATACCAGAATGGATGTTTCCAACTAAAATTAATTTTTCGCGAAATTTATCTTTGTTGCCCTACTATTTTTCGTAAAACCGAGATATACAAACTTCATGATATCAAAAATAATATTGTGATAATGAAAACCGCCATATAAAACAAAATAATTGCTGATATCATGCCTACTAAACTTGGTCCTACCCCCTAATTCAATATACCCTGTATGCTGTTTGCGCGCAACATCTGCCGCAAACGCCGCACTTCTAAAATAAAGTCGCTAGAAACAGCGGAGATCCCCAAAAAGTAAACAAAAGTAAAAGTCTAATATCTTGAAAACCGGTGAATATTTTTCGGTGAAATTTGGTAAATATTCGTTTTTGCTCTTTCTGAACCGAGCGACATCACTTTCATACCAATTTATTAACTTTTTTGAAGGTGGGAGGGTCCCTTTAATTTAGTGGTCGCCGCTTACTAATCATGCGGCATATACGCCGCACATAACCGCCAATGCCGCAACGTAGCTTAGATTTCGAAGTAAGCATTTAGTCCCACCCCATTCTACTATGAGCTTCTCAAACTCACTCTCACGGGTTACCTGACGTCGGTCCACGCCGCCACGAAATCGGGCGACGGGTGCTCCTTCTGATCCAGATGGCGCCACTGCAGGAATTGGTTTATTGCGACTGCAAGGACATCTGCTGAGTTTTTCGGGAAGTTTCGAGCACATAAGCGTCTCATGCGTCATTAGTGTCTCAATACAAGCTAGAGCTAGCTTTCCAGTGTTTTGTTTGGTAATTTTCCTGCCCCTAGCGGTATAAGAGGGTAATGCGTCTTTATAGAAATAATGATCGAATGTGTCATCTCAAAATACCTTTTTATTTTATTATTTTAAAATAAAATGGGTACAAAAAATGCTCTGAAACAAAATACTTTTATTCTAAGGAGAGATTTAGAGGCATATCTAAGCTAAGTTATTTTCACCGGTAGAGGCGCTGCAAAGATAAGAACAAACTCGAGGCCGTCGAGGCCTTCTATAATCGCATTGCCGGGTGCTCCCAGTCCGCTTTTTGTTGTGTGATATTTGTTGGGCCATAGGCTTATTTTAGGTAGTTTATTATATAAAAGTGTTTCCAAAATGGCGTTTTTGCCTCGCGCCTCGTCTGGTCTACGTGCAAGCATCCCCATGTTCAGGTACTAGTCTAATTTTACAAGGAATTGTTGAACATGCAGAGCTGGACAACCTGAACCGGGTAGTTTGGTTAAACCATTAAAGTTATGTATGTGGCAGATTGTTTTTTTTTGGGAGGGGGTTGGTACATCAGATTTAACTGTAATGAATAAGTTGATTTTCAAGAGTGATTTGACATTTGCATTTTGATTTGTGCCGCTTTTTAGGAGCCATAGTTAATTTTTAAGCTACAGTTTTTTAATATATAAATCTAAATATTTGGCAATTTTGCTAAATGTTTTTGCTATTTTGAGCCAGTGTTCATGTGCTGTACCAGTAGCGGCAGCACTGCCGACTTTTGGTCCCATTCTTTCCATGCAATGTCCATAGGGCCAATGTTAAAATGCCAAAACCAAAGGGGGCACTGTGCCCTCCCCGTTCCGCCGCCTTGGCCTACCTATTTGCTGTACTGTGTAATTTCATTGGCTGATCCAGGGGGCATTTTACCCTCTCCCATGGTACCCCCACAGTACCCTAGATATAAATCTTGAGTTTTTCTGAGAATATGACAAAAATTACATTTTTAATGAGAAGAAGAGCATTTTAAACTGCACAGTAGTGTGTAAGGAATCAAAATCCAATGAATTTTTGGAATTTGAAGACTTGGTAGATGACCATGCCCCCCCCCCCCCCCCAGCATCAAAGACAGCCTGTCTGGATCCACCAGTGTCTGACTTGGTAGATGGGTCAGTTGTCTCGTAGATGAATATGACACAATTTGAAGGTTTAGGAAGGTGAAAGTGTCTATTAGTGGGTGTTCTTCATTGATCACCTATTTAATTGATGCAGGTTCAGGGTATGATTTGCAAACATTTATTGGCCCTGCTTTATCAGGTCAGCTGAGTGGTACCCAGGCAAAAAGTTTTTAACCTTGCTCATACACTATTAATGTCATTTCATTGTTTTTCATTTATTGTTTCACAATCAACTTGGAATTTATCCACAAGTGCTTGCTGAATGCTATGCAACATCATAATGTCAACTTTAAGCTGCAGCCTATGGCAATTCGAGTTCATAATATAGGTGACAGGCCCCCGTCTTACCATCCAAGCAGGATACCGTATAGGCCGCTAATCCTCCCCTGTTTGCGTCCTCAGGCAGGCGAGGATGATGTCCAGCGGAGAGCCCGGCTCCGGCGCCGGTAAGGGCGGCGGCGGCGGCGGCTCGATCCGCGAGGCCGGCGGCTCCTTCGGCAAAATGGAGTTCGCCCACGAGGAGCAGTACTTCCGCAAACTGGTGAGCAGTGGGTGTTAGATGTGTGAGAGAATGGTGCCAGAACGGCTGGTTGGGTGAATCGAGTTCCACAGTGCTTTGGTAGACATCTCATTATGCTAAATTGTGACATTGTCACTATTTTTTGCATCGCCCATTAGTTCCCCCGTTCAGTTACCGACATGTCAGCAAATACCTAGTTGCCATACGGCTTTGATATTTTGAAGTAGAAAGTTGCAATGGTGATTCGTTTCGATCTTGAGCTAAATGAAATGTAAACCAATGTTGTTTCCATGACGTTAGTCTCAACTTGTGTGCGCCATATTCAGGAGTGACTCGTTTTCAGTTTTCAGCACGTTCAAATCTGGCACTCTTGTTTACGTCTTTTCCCAACAGCAAAGCGAGCAGCTGGCCAAGCTGAGGACGCACCTGGACGAGGAGGTGTCCCACCACGAGCACGAGATCGCCCGCCACCAGGAGGCCATCAACCGGCACAAGGGCCGCATCGACAAGCTGAAGGAGCAGCAGAAGAAGCAGCAGGAGTAGGCACCGGCCGGGAGCGCGCCGACGCCGCCGCCGGCCGGTCGAGTAGTGTGCGGGGTTTTTGTACGGGGCGGGCTGCGGCTCTGAGTCGCCTAACCGGGAGCAGTGGCTTTCACCTACATCGTGCGCACGCGCCGGCGAGCCGACAGTGGCGGCTGGCCGGCAGCTGATGTGATGACGGCGTTCGCAAGACGTCAGTACCGAAGTAGGGCCTGTGTTGTAATGGCAGTGTCCGGTCGGATATCCGTGCAACATGGTTATATGTACATAGATACTACTGGAAAATATACTTAGCGCTGGAGCGAGAGCTGAGTTTCCGCGGCTGGGTAGGTAGCGAAGTTGGCTTATCGTCGTCACTAATAACATTCCTTGCATTGCGTATATTTGATCCACCATTGGCGGTGGTGGCAGTCGACTTGTGTCGTTCTCCTCCATCCGCGCGCCCGCGCAGCTCAACGGTCTGGGAGCGGGTCGGCAACAAAGCAAAACTGCGCCAAATACGATCATCAAACACATGTACAGAATGCCAGTAGACGGAAAGCAATTACAGGTAAATCAACTTTCGTCAATGAGCATCAATAAAATCACAGCAAATCTCTACAAGCAACTAAATCACATTTGTACCCTTCCGTCGTGAACTTACGACTTAATGAACACTACAACAGATCGATTTCTTACTCCTGTCGGCACGAAACTGGCCCAAACAAAACTTGCCCAAACTGAAACTTCTGCGCTCGATCTGGCTCGTACAAATCTCTGTCGGCAGCAGAACGATTCCTTGCATCGTTCCCAACAAGACTTCCAAATGAAAACAAATGTAAGAACTGGCGCGAACGGCGGCTGAAAACAGCCGACCCAATCTCTCTGCAAAAACCGCCGGGCAGCGTACGGGACCGTCGAAAAAACGACGGGGGCGGCGGCAGCCGCGCCTTGCCGCGACACCATGTCACACGGAGCGGCGGCAGCGTCCCCGCGTCGCGCGCGACCCCGACCGTCCGGAGAGCCGGCCGCCCTCGGACGAGCAGTCGTCCGTCTCGGCCGACTCCAGCGTGGAGAGAATGCTGAACAGCACACAGGACACCTGCCGACACGGAGGGAGCGCCATCAGAAGCGAGCTCCAAGTCCAGACTGAATATGACGAAAGGGAAACACGATATATGCACTTGTACTGTAACGCCACACGGAGATATTTGGAAGTGGGTGCCCGTTCTTCAAAAAATATGTTTTGACCGGTTTATTTTATCAGCTCAAGGATTTTTTTATCAACTACAAGAAATATTAGTTCAATTAGGACATAGGCAATAATGAACGCACGTGTCTACTAATGACATCGTAGAATGCCACGTGGCGTCCCCGCACCAACCTGATTCTCATTTCCATGAGTACGACAATATTGTCTCACCAGTACGATGATGATGAAGACGGTGTTGCCGTGCAGCTGAGTGGCAGGCGCCGCCTCCATCTGGCGCAGGGCGTCCTGCGCCGGCTGGAAGCGCGGACGCAGCTCCAGCGTGTGCCGCAGGTGCATCTCCGCCTCCTGGTAATTACCGTACTCCTGAAAAAAGGGACGCACGGGGAAGTGGAAGTGATGAACGGTTACGGCGTCGGTAAGAAATAGGTCACAATTCGCAATCATTCTTTATATACGTCCTTCGTCCACCCGTCCATTCGATCTATTTTTAATATCGATGAGCATCGATGAGTCAGACGCAGGCGTCGTCTATGTGGTGGTGTCTCTGTCGTGTCTCCGTAACAACATTGGATCAACGAGCGCCATAATTAACCAAAGATCTCGTTGCCATTCGGTCAACGTTTGTTAAATACACAATCCAGTTTAAATCCCGGTGTATATCCATGCCATCAAAACAGTATTGAATAACCAGCCACGGACATCCCGAATTATCTTTCATCGCTCCTACCCACTCTGCCCCCTTCCTTTAGCCTAACATTCTCGTCCCACGGTCCCAGTGTGGTTGCATCAGCTTGGCACGGTGACAGCCGACAGTTCGCGACTGACCCAGAGACTGAGCTGGCTTCGGTGGTTCGTAGTGACCTTGTACCTTGACCGTAGTGACCTGTAGTGACCTTGATATTGAAGCCGTTGCAATATATACTCGGCTTCGGTTCCATGCGCACTGCGCAGTTATTCTGATTATTATTCTTGCTGCTGAGTTGCTGACTCCTGTAACACTCAAGCTAACCGGTTTTCAGACGAGGCATGGGAGGGGAGGAGAGAGGAAGGGAGGAGAAAGAGGGAGATATACAGGGTGTCCCATAAGTTCGTTCTCACCTAAATTTTACGTTTTTAGGCTCTCTTGCTTAAAGGCACGCTGAAATTGGCTCGTTACTGAGCTTACGTGGTTGCCATGGCTGGTAGAAATATGCTCCACAGTAACTAATTTCTGTAGACAAAATAGTTTTTGCTAGAGAGCCCGTTTCCTACACAGACGGCTAACGCCGGAACTTAGAGGTCTCCAATACGGGTACGTCTCGGTATTTAGTCAGCACGTGACCATTCGCGACGATTGAGGGTGATTGAGGCCTACCAGTCTGTAGACAATGTCCATCGCTAACTGGACGTACAGTCAGCAAGTGACACCGATGATTTGTCGGGAGCCAATCACTGCAAGTTTATCCTCTTTTTTTTTGTCAGCTCTCAGGAGTGAGCCATGTGGCCAAAACTGTGTGGCGCCAAAGTGGCCATCAAAAAGGTCAAAGGGTTAGAAAGTTGGTAAGCAGACTTTTCAGGATGGATTACCAGCTGTCTAAAATTGTTCTTATGGGGTATATAACTCAAGGTGACTTAAGCTTTGCTTACCGGAGGGCTCAAAACAGTCAAAAACGTCTTAAAATGGCCAAACATGAGTTTCGTTATGCCTGAGGCTAAAAAACTAAAGGGCTGAGGACATCAACCAGGTCATCTGGACTAACTAGTCCACGTTCGAGATGAAGCACCCGTCCAAACCCGAAAACAACCCCATAAGGGCGAAGGAGGAGGCCTCCGTTTCGTCCCGTTATGTTCGTATGCGAAAGGCCAAGGTCACGGTATTGTGGGGTTATAGGCGTCCAGACGCTGACCAGGTTGCGATTGGTGTCCCAGAAACAGCTTTGGGAAGCATAATACCTTTTCAAGAAAATCTAGGAGGAGTTTCAGCCCTCAAGCTGAACTCGAAACGCGAGTATGAACACATTCATAGAGGAGAAAATGGCATCCGAGAGGTCGTAGGCCCATCTTCAGGCAAGACAATGCATCAGTGCACAGGTCAAGCAAAGCTTAAAAGCGGTGCAAGGAGACTGTGACAGGCGTTTGTGGCAAGACCACATGCCAAGCACCTGATCGGATCAAAATTTCATAAAAAATTGTTGGTTATGCTGAAATTTAGGCTCGTCGAAGCGTAGCGCTGTTCCAGCCTCGAGGAGTTCACGGCGCATGTCAAGTCAGTCTGGGTTAACTTTAAAGGTAGTGTGCCACCTTTGAAAGATTTCCCATTTTATTTTTCCTAGGATAAGAAGCTTCTGTTTTTACCTAATATCGCAAAAAAATCAAAAATGGGCCTGAAATAGTGCCTTTTTCGCCTAAAAGTTTATCGGTTTTTCGATATGTATAACAACTGTAGTGGGCTGGCCTGCAAACAGCATGTTTATTAATCCCACCCAGAAATGACAAACAAAGCCTCTGATTGGCCAGTTTTGGCTGACAGACGCAGAATATTTGTCAGCCATAGAATACTATGCTTTAGCACTTTTTCAATAATGACGCATACGTTACATTTGAAACTTAGGGCCGCTAAAATATTGTAATGGATCTTACATGTTAAATATAACATTTTTTGGAAGCCCGTACAGATTGTTTCTAGTTGGTTGGTGTTACAAAGTATTAAAAGAAATGATTATTCTCTAGTTAATTAAGAACAAAAGCTTTTAGCTACTAGAATTCGCCCGACAGTCTCCAGAATCCTGCGTACGGGGACACCGCAGTCTCGGTTTCTCATGTTATCGCAATGGGGAAAAGGTGAAATTTTAAATGAGTCAGTATCGTGTTAGGAAGTACGGATGCTTTCAAAACTAAATGCATTTCAATTCAAATCCCAGAATATCCTTTCGCGGAAATAGCCCTTCTCAGCCTGTCGGCCCATTCTCTAACGCTACAAGTCTGAACGGTGAGCGTCTCGTGCGTTGCTCACGTATCGCGATAAAAAGGACGGTGTCATATAATCAAATAAACTTTTCTTATGCATAGAGCATTTGAAACCTCACACCAAACGCCTCCTTTCCTTGTTTTCTACTGCTGCCTTTTTCACATACCTACCCAATGACCGTTCCCTCGACGTTCCTTATCGACTGCCTCACATTCAACGGCCATATCCCACCCAAGATTCATCCCACCTACGCTGAAAACCAATCGGAGGCACTTTCAATCGTCCCTTGAATAAAATTGCTACCTACACGTATTTAGAGGAGAACGAGGCCCAGAAAAGGCATGCATAAAACGATCGGTTTTGGCCCCCATGGAATAAGCCAGCAGGCCTAACATCATATTGATTGAAGAACATTTTCGAGGACATGATATCTATTAGATCTTATTTTGCAAAGGGATTGTAAACATAACGTTCGCGTATCGCAGCTCTGAATCTGCTGGTGTCAGTCCCATGCAGCAGCCACCAGACCACCGCCCCGCCGCCTACAGTTCGCTGATCTTACAGGCCGGCTGTCCCAGTGTCTCATCAAACGATCACAGCTGACAGCATTTATGAAATGCCAAACAAAAACAGACACGCAAAATTGTGGATCATGCCAGCTCTTTCAGTCATGCGCGTGGAGATATATCAGTAGTTTCCTATCACAGATCACACTGAACAGAGCAAAATCTGTAGACACTCAGCAATAAATAATGCATTATCAAGTACACCGTCACCGATCGATGCATCGTGGATTACACCGAATAATATATCAGTGCTTTAACGTTCCCCCAGGTGGGTGGGGGCGTTTTTGGCCACACCTGACAATTTTGTGCTTGCATAAATAAAACGACACGAAACTTAGTATAGCTTATGTATAATGCATCGATTCACATCATTTGTGAAAAAAATGTAACTCCATGTCACCTAAGGTCAGGTCAGGTCACCATGACGTAGACGTTTGAAACTCGAGCTATTGCATGAGAATCAGTACCAACTACCAACATCTTGAGTATCTTTAATTGTGATATCGGTGACCGAGGGTCAATAGGCGGCGGAACGGGGAGGGCACCGGGGCACCGTGCCCCCTTTGATTTTGGCATTTTAAGATTAGCCCTATGGGCGTTGCATGGGAAGAATGGGACCAAAAGTCGGCAATGCCACCTTAATTGAAGGTGTTCCGCCGCTACTGATGTTAATCACAATCTCAATGTAACGAATCGACTGACATGCAATATGGCATTTTCTGCGACTTTGACCTGAGGTCAAATTTATTAAGTTGACCTTGTTAGGTCAACAAGACGAGAGAAACGCAGTGCCGGTGAAATCAACGTAATAAAATGTTGGTATCAAAAGTTTTAAAAGATAAGACGATTTCCGAAGCACGCCGATTGTTCAGTTTTTGCCATTTGGAGGCTTAACCCTAGTTGACCTTAGCTCAAATGTGAGAACCTGCAAGATTTTCGAAAGAGCTATCGAATTCGCTTTTCCGCGGCGCTGTAGCTTCTTTGGTTCCCGAGTTATGAACCAATTTGTGAAGTTGTCAAAATCTATAGCCAAAATTCGTCATCATTTTACTTTTGGTGACCTCCAGTGACCTCAGCAATGACCTGATCGAAAATGACCTGTATGATTCTGAAGGAAAATAGCGAGCTATATATTGATTTTACTGCGTCTTTCCAGCTTTGTTACATTCCAAGATAACCTGGTGTGGCCGAATACGCCTCCCCTCCCCCCCCCCACCAAGTTGGCTGAGGGCCACCCGGGCGCGGGTTAATAACATGGCGCAACAGGTTTTGTTATCAACTTGTCCTTTTCACACATAGGCGACACCTAGATATCACAGCCAACGCCTATCACCAACCTGGTGGTGGGCTTTGGCCAGCGATCGCCGATCGGGGCCAACGTGGGCTCTTACTCGTCCACGATCAGCACGAATGATGAATTATAGCTGCTTTAGACCGCCACTTCAATCCAGCGTGTAATCCCCAGTCCACATCAGAACCACTAGTGAAACTCTACTGAGTGGGCCAACTGCACTGCATCTTTGACCTCCTTTGCAGCTCTGGCTTTTCAGAATTTGAACAGCCTTCTCTTCCCCACCCTTCTGTACTGATGAATGATGATCCTTTGAAAACCTGGAAAAAAAGACAGTACAGTGAGATGAAACTGTTTTGCTATGGGTCTGTTCCAGTCGCACTTCCTAACACATCTAAACTCCTCCAAGAGCAAGATAGAGGTTGGAGCAAGGCCCTCCTTGGCGTTTTAGGGGCGAAAGCTGCCACTGGAACAGGGAAGCAATCTTGGAGGAGTTAAGAGGTGTTAGGAAGTGTGACTGGAACAGGCCCTATGACAATGTCTGTGCATAGAACGAGCAGAGGGTAGAAGTGGTCAATTGGTGAGTGGAACAAATGCAAATGTCAGGAAAGCAGTCATATTTTGAGATAGACATGATGCAGATGTTGGCCAAGCTGACAAGGCAGATATAAGTACCAGCTTGTTACACTATAACTAATCATATTGTCATGTTTAACAGAGGGAATATAATGTAAAAAAAGCCTTAGCCATTTGAAAGTAGATAATATAAGTTCTATAGAAAAATGTTGATGCAAGTAATGTAGGATTTGTGGTTCCTAAAGGCTAGGTAAATGTATTCCCTGTTCAACAATTCTTCAGCATAGACATTGATGTCAATGTACATGCATCAACATACCTGTAGTGAAGTGATTCTGGGCTGCTTTCCTGAGCAGTTGATGGCCACGACTGGAATCTTAAAAACACAGCTAATTTTACCATTTTGTTAACTATGACTGAGGATCTTCTGTGCTGAAAAAGAGATAGACAATAGACATCAGCTGATAGACATTGTACAACTCATTTGTGAAACAAGATCAATTCCATTTAGGGGTAGGTCTTAAGATAATGATGACATGAATGAATTTCAGTTTTCACTTTTCACCAGTCCAGGTACCTATTGACAAAATGAAATAATATAGGAGGAATCAATGATAATGTTTCTGGTAGAAAATGCAGGCATTTTATAATTCAGTTGAAACTTGAAGCTTAAGATGGAGGATTTTTGGAAAATATTTGCCACAAATAACATTGGAATCTCAGAAACACAAATCAAATCTTATTTGATGTCAAAAACAAATCAAACTGTTACCATTGAACACCAAGCAGCATGCTGAGTAGTCATTGACTAAGACATATGCATGTTACACATGGCTACAGTACTTTGAAATAGCTTTTATAAAATGTATGCACTCATGTAATCTCAACATGTAAATATTTCAGCTTAAACTTGTTTTACACTAAACCTGCTAAGCCAAGTAAAATATAAATATGAGAAGCCCAAAACAAGTTATTGAGAACATAAACAAAGGTAATGTTACAACAAAACTGAGTCAAAACACTCAAAACTAAGTGTTTCAATGAACGCAGGATTGATGCGTGTCACAGAAGCAGCTGTCCACTGTAAAGCAGAGTGGGCACAGCATGGTGAACGCAGGAAGTGGTGCACAAAACTGAATTAAGAACTAAGAAGAGCGCCTGACTAACTGTGTCTGTATCCCTTTACATGTAGGACAGGTATTTACAAAATTTGAGCACAACCAGCCAAAATTTAACTGGGAAGGAGGCCATGCCCACTCGCACATGACAGGTGTGCAAAAAATATGCCTGTAATACCTTATGCCTAGGCCCTAGATACATAAAGATGAAAATGTGTTGTGTCTGTGTGGTTAGTAGCACGACGTGACATGACTATTATCAATACCTGACAGTACAATTATCATGATATTATCATTATTGCAATTGTAATAAAAATGGTAAATTAACTTTTTCTCACTTTATATAGCCAAAATACCTGATATTTTTATATCAAGTTTGCGTACTCCAAAATCGTAATTATTCTGCTTCCTCCAGTACCTAATAAGTTTGCGCAAGACTATTTAGCATCCATTAGATGTAGGGACGATCATGACCACTTGACTAAAAAATGGTTCACTTGGTTCTTACAAGCCTGTTAACTCACTACAAAAGGGGAGGGAGGCACTGCAAAACGGCGTGGAAATCGCCACGTCTGTCTCAAGATGTTTAATGCATCGGCACCAAAATATCGTCGTATTAGTATGCAGGGTCACCAAAGAAAAAGGCAACGTTATTTATCAAATATCAAAGCAAATTGGCAACATCTAGCACAACGAAACACATAATTCAACACCTAACGAGGCCGGCCGAGCCCCCGATACCACCATGGCGACCGCTCAAGTCCAACTGGCCAGCAACTGGCCAATCAGGGGGCTTGTTTGTCATTTCTGGGTGGGATTAAAAAACATGCCTGCAAACAGGCGTCGGCAATAATCGCGAATGCGGCGCACATGTGACAATAAGCAAAGGTCATTATAGAGTTACGACGTACGGGAATGAGTTATCAGCTGTCTAATCGTAGACAACACAATGTCGAGCCTTAAACTGTAAGCCTGTATTGGTATTGTTTCTTTTATTTGGCTGTCAAGCATTAATTTATGGTTTGAAATACTATTTTATGTAAAATAATTGATATGAAACAGCCGTCTCTAAAGTTATGATCCCATCTCACCACATGAAAGTGGCAGAAATGACAATGATCAGCTGACGCATTTTTCTTGGCCGAAGTCAGAGCGCGCGGCCCGACGCACCACCACCGCACCACAAAGTATGAGCAGAAGCCGCGCCCAAAGCCAGGGCCCCGGTAACGTGAGGTAGCCGAGTCGGGGCAGCGTGCGCTGACCCAAGCCGGGGCCGCGGCTTTGGGCGCGGTCTACCGCATCCCCGCGGGCAGCCCCGGGCTATCACATGACACCGGGAGGACGCGCGGCCCCGGCTTGGGTCAGCGCACGCTGCCCCGACTCGGCTACCTCACGTTACCGGGGCCCTGGCTTTGGGCGCGGTCTACAGCACCACCTAACAGGCGTGTTCAAAACCGCAGGAGATGATGATGAACGGGTTTATCGAAACTTGATTGGATGAGCCTATCGGTAATAGCGATTTCACTGTGTGCATTTATTGTTCATAGTGGTGTGAAATGTGGTTGGGGTACGACCGACAACCCGTCGGGGCGAATTTCGCACTGGGGTACTCAAAATTTGAAGAATTTAAGACGTTTCCATGAGTTTTGAAGGTATGGATAAGTTCTAAAAATCCGGTTCTCCTTATCTGGGCCATTAACTCCATATGGTCCAGGAAAGCTGGCACACTACCTTTAAGCCTGCTATGCAGCCAAACATGCCGGTTGGCATGCCGCAGCATGTGTTCATGTGTTTGCCTATTAAATGGGGAGCACATTGAGGGGTCATGAATATATCAAAACGCAATGTACTCTGTTTCACATGCAAATAAAATGTGAGAACGAACTTATGGGACACCCTGTATGTATAGGAACTAGGGAGAGCGAAAGGGGGATAGAGAGCGAGGGGAGGGGAGACAGAGACAGTCAGACGAGGGGAGAGAGGGGAGAAGAGAGAGAGAGAGAGAGAGAGAGAGAGAGAGAGAGAGAGAGAGAGAGAGAGAGAGAGAGAGAGAGAGAGAGAGAGAGAGAGAGAGAGAGAGAGAGAGAGAGAGAGAGAGAGAGAGAGAGAGAGGAGAGAGAGAGATTCGCTCTTTCCGGCCCACTGCTGACTCGCGAATCCCCACGAAAAGTGGGCAGACGGCCCTACGTCAACTCGTTCGGTTCTCGGTCGGGGCGGTGACGGCGACTAAAAATAGCCGGCGTCGCCAGCCGGGCGACGCGGTGGCCGGCGGCCCGAGAGCCACCCAGTACACGTGTCCTACGATTGCGCAACTGCTGAACGGTCAGTGCAAGTCACTGGTGTCACGTCACTTTTTCGTCCTCATGACCGCATAATGCATTAATTCCCGTAATAAACAGTTACTTTGTAGCGCAGTAGTATAATTGTGAAAAATGAATGAAAATATGCTGAAGTGCATATTTCAAAACTGCACGAAAAGAAGCTTCATTATTTTTATCACAGAACGTCACTAATTCATAAATGCGTAGGCTAATGAACAGCTTCCCTTGTTTAACGATGGGTGTTAAGGCTGAAACAGACTCTTTCCGCGTTCAGGAAATCGCATGCGAGAGCCTATTCAAATACATTGTAATTCTTCTCGCATCAATCGCTTGCGGGAGGTGCGTGCGATTGATGCGAGCGTGCTTCCATGTATTTGAATAGGCTCTCGAATGCGATTTCCTGACTGCGGAAAGAGCGGAAAGAGTCTGTTTCAGGCTTTACGGTGGTCGATTCGATACATGGTGCAATCATGTGTCGTTCTCACATTTCCTTCGATTCTTAGCTTCTCGATGGGAATAACGGTTTGGGGGATGTTATTCCAGCCCCACCACGTGCGGCTGCATCAACTAGTCGCCGTTAGCTCATGCATACGATGGATCGTATTTCGTCCTCACACCAAGCACAACGTGTAAACGAGCCTGGGCATAGCCAGGGGGACCACGAGAGAAGACGTAACAAGGCACGTTTGCTTGTGGTGTTGATTGTGAACGCCTACTCGGTGATGACATGGACGATGCTCCTCTGGTGCGATAGGTACTAATTTACCATTTATCACAATATCATCGGGAGCATTAAAAGTGTAGCTGGGACAGTAATAGGTAATGTGAGGGCGTCAGATACTTCGTCATGGGATGCAATTTGAGTAATTTTACGGGCACAATCTTCAGCAACGGAATACGATACAAGAACGAGATTGCACATCTTTCCGCCAGCCCTGGATGTTTTTCTCGTCTTTCTGCATGCGTGTTTGCGTTCATTCCCTCGTATACCAACCATAATGCCAATCAGCGCCATCTCCTTCAAACAATAAGGCTCGAAACAAACAGTCGCTCATTTATAGCGCCAACTCAGTCAGACGTGCTACATAGCGTACACGGCTAAAACGGAAGGCTGGAGCGTCACACCAGCAGGGCTAGTCTCATCAGCTATTCAATTTCAATATATCGTCTAGCATGCATGTAACATGGTTGCTGCATAAGCTTACCCTCATATTTTCCCCATCGTAAGGCGCTGCAGCCTCGCCTCACCGGTTTACCATGAGATTCTCTCCGGGGTCAAACACGAGATTCTCTCCGGGGTCAAACACTGCAGCTCCTTCTCGCCTGCACGCCTTTCGTACCTACCCGGTGTGAAGTGATGCAGTATCGCCTCAAACTCACCTCGCATAATATCTCCTCCCGTGTGCCATATTTACCTTCAGAATATTCCCCGGGGTCAAACGCTGCAGCCTTCTCGCCTGCACACGATCACCTCGTATTATCTCCCCAAGTGTGCAATGCTCACCTTCAGTATCTCCCCCAGGGTGAAGTGCTGCAGCTTCCCCTCACCTTCAGTATCTCCCCCAGGGTGAAGTGCTGCAGCCACCCCTCACCTTCAGTATCTCCCCCAGGGTGAAGTGCTGCAGCCACCCCTCACCTTCAGTATCTCCCCCACGGTGAAGTGCTACAGCCATCCCTCACCTTCAGTATCTCCCCCAGGGTGAAGTGCTGCAGCCACGCGTTCTGATCGGGAGGCTGCACCTCCAGCGATCGGCGCGTGAGGAAGATGGCGTCATCCAGGTACTGCAGGTTGAACAAGACCCGGGCCAAGTTCAACAGCACCTGTAAAAGGACAGGCCAGACAGAGGTGGTGAGACAGTCCATTGATAGTGACGTGACATTTTTATCGGAAGTGGAAAGCCGATAAAACCGCCACGATTTACAAAACATCCTGTTACGAATCTGCACGACCGTTAGCGATTATCACTCCTTCGTAAACTCGTAGACAGAAGAGTATTCTCGAGTCACAAAAATGCATTCTTAAAACTAGTAGCTACCCCACCGAGAATAGAACACGCGAATCAGCGCAACAACTGGCACTGTCCTTGAACACACTTGAGGCGATGCTTTGAGTACACAGAGCTATCGGTAACCAAATAACAACTAAGAACGTGATGCAGCAATACGCGACGAGCGTAATAGGTACAATGGTATTGGGAAACTATTCTCTTGTCACTTTACATCTGACTTTCTCGTTTTAGTTTAATCACGACAAATGCAAGCACAGTATACACGACATGCAGTATATTCTATACCTACACCCATATCACACATACATATCTTGACCACTTTATCTTTAACCTTCATCTTCATCACCCTCCCAACCAAACCATCAGGAGCATTACCGGCGCCAATGCCAATAACTGGTTTCCACGCCCCCGCCACCACCATACGCCGGCCTCTACCCCGTCCTTCCTCCTTCAGTTCCTTTTCTAGCCCGCCCCGGTGTAAGGTGACAGTACATTGTCCCCGCAGCGCTCACCTCAGCGTTATTTGGAGACACCGCGAGCGAGCGTCGGAAGCACTCGATGGCTTTGGACGCGTCACCTTTCACACGCCAAAAGTTGCCGATCTGGTTGTACAGCTGCAACGACTTGGGTTTCTGTCGAAATGAAGCACAGGCATTAATTTCGCAAACACAACACATTGCAAAATGTAAATGCATATTCATCGCTCTCAATCACAAAATGTTCGGTGACAGTCACACAGTAGTCTAAGTAGCCCAACAACATATTTGAGAGAGAAGTTTGTTTCTCTGAGAGCAAATTAAAGCCCAGCAGGAAAAGACTGCATCATTGTAAGACAGGGTGTGCATTTTTGCCGGCAAAAACTAGTTTTTGCCATTTGCCGGTTTAAACCGGTTTTAACCGGCATAAAGTGGCAAACACTGGCAAAAACTAAAACAGTCAAAACGCTATGCCTCTACATGCGTTTGAACAGGACACGTTTTAAGTAGGATTCAGTCAATACAATATGCTTTCAAACAGAAGTGGTATCTTGACCATTTTAGTGTTAAATAGTTCCGTGAGTCCTCTATAATTAACCAATAAGGCGCCTTTTTGGTGAGAGAAATGAGAAAGTGCGCCGACGGGCGGCGAGTATTGAAGAAGTGGGAAAGGGCATCTGCCACTGACTTGTGCACCGGACCCTACGAACCGGTTCCTAACAGTGTCAGTGCCAAATTTGTGCTTAGTCGACGTAGCCGTTCTCCCAATCTGGAAGCGTCACCCCGCACGTGCGCACGTGCAAAATGGACCCCGACCGACTATGCACGACACCCTACTAATCAGTCCCTAACGGTGTCCCAATTTGAGCGCAATCGACCCAGCCATTCTCGAGGTCTGGTCGGAAACGACTCCTGCATATGCTCATGTGCAGAAGCACACCAACAGCGATGCATGAAAGTGCACTTCCTGGTGGACATCTATTGACTACCGACAGACATTTTAAGCAGCGGTAAACTAGCGAGACAATGCTTACTGGGTCCCAATGACAGACATGACTTTGTACATTTCAACCGATTGCTTTTTAGGCAAGCAACGCAGTTTTGGCCACTTGAGTTTTTGCCAGTTTCTGCCAGTTTTTGCCACCATGGTTTCTGCCAGCCGGTTTAAACCGGTTAAAACCACTGGCAAAAACCAGTTTTTGCCACCCTCTGCCAACCCTGCTGTAAGATCATAGCCAATATAAACGGTAGGTATAGTACCATTATAAACGAACATGTGTTCATCACAGCTCACCTCTCGTTTGGAGCGCCGTAGCTTTTTCTCCAACACGTCCAGATCGATGGTATCGCTGGCTCTGTCTCCCCGACGCCGGAATACAAGGCCAGCATGCGGCTCGGGCACCAGCGCTGGGTGCCTTTGCCTGTTTGATACCCCCACCAGGTGGTCATAGTGTGTGAAGTTGACAGACTTGCCACAGTCCAGGGGTGGTTCCTGTTCATCGTCAGGCTCAGGTGCTGTCTCTGCAGTTTCGTCATCAGGCCTGAAACAAAGCAGTCAACAGGGTCCAAGCTTGTTTAGCATCCTAAGATGATCAATTTACTGTGCTTTAGCTTCATAAGGAGCTAGGTGGGTAGAAGGTGCCCTTGCTAAACTCTGTTCTCTATGCAACTATGCAATGCAATTGTTACACTCATTTGCTCATTTTATGTATTTTGCTGTTTGATTGCTGTTTAATTGCTACACCATATGCTTATTTTGATTATAAATTGGTGGAATTTGTCCTATATTTTATAGAAGTCCTTCTCAATGTTTAAAAAGTCCAACAACCCCTAATTCTCCAACCCCACTGAACAAATCTATGGAGCTTGTTTTCACGAGCCACCTTCAAGAACCTACCACTCAGTAGTCAGTAATCAGTATGGTGACTGAGCTGAAGGCAGAATATTGTCCATCTCACTGATCATGAGAGACACACATGACACAACTGTTATCACCTCAAACCTGCTTTAATCAATACCTACTGATACTTACACTGCACCTTGACTTGCAGCATGCCTGATTATATCATATGTTGTCCCATTACATTCATGGCTATTGACATCACTTGTACAGTATCTGACAGCTTCATGCTTGGTCCAGATACCATTTTTGATACTTGTACTCAAGAGAGCCTCAAAAACTGTGTCCTGCTTCGGCTCGTCTTGGCGCAGGCTCTTGGTGGCATTGGAGTCATCATTTGTAAGTTTGTCAATGTTGATCACCTTGTTCTCAAGTGAGTCAAGCCTCCAGTATATGCCTTTCGTTCCAACATGATCTGCTTGGAACATATTTGAGGACATAACAAAAAGTAGTAAAAATAAGAAATATGGCATATTTGAAGCCAGACCCATCTTCACTTTCTGAGACACCTGACGTTTAAACACAGGTGGTTTCAATTTATTATGCGATGGAAAATCATCGCATTCCAGATAACAAAAATTCGTTGCACAATAGGGTATCTTGTAATCATTAAAAAATGGTCTCATCTACTCCATCTAATCACACGGGCACCCCTTGTTGACAAAGTCATATCTCGTTTCGATACATAAACAGCGCATAACAACGCCACTATTGAAACAAGTTATCTGCTGCGCCATGTTTGTATATAAAAATCTCAAAGTTAGATTAAGCTATGGATATTTTTATGACTTCAAAACCAACAAATTGATTCATGGTGATATTAAAATAATCAAATTCGTGAAGAACATTCACGTGATTCACTTTGCCGACATGCAATAAGAAATATTGACCTGCAATTTTATGAACCTGTGAACGCCTATGTATTTCGAGAGTTAAAAGAAATATTTTAAGCTGTTTGTTTTACGATTTATCACCTTTTTTGAATAAGAACGTACGTTTAGTGTCTTTCATAATTTTTTTTTGAATATTTAAAATAAGTATAGCAAAAACTGATTGAAAATCTTATAATTATGACAAAATAACTTCTAATGGGAAGAAAACGGCGCACATGCGCCGTAGCAGTTATTGGAGAATCTGAGGAGAGTTGGTGCTGGTTGCGTGAATTTTGGAAGTTTTCTTGCGAATTTGAGAAGGATCATTGGGAGGATTTTACCGAATTAACTCAATTTCGGCACCCTCAGACGTTTGACAAGGTATGTTTTATGTAGGTGCCTCTGTCTCGTACCTACACAGTATCAATCAATGGATTATATTTTTGCTTTTTTAAGTCGATGCTGGTTCCCCATTTTCATTACTAAATGACAGATGCTGCATATCATTCATGCTGCATCAACATTCTAGTTAAAATATTCAGACGAATAGGTACCAGTGCAGTTTTTAAGCTTCATTTGTTCTTGACAATAATTGATCAAAAAGTAAAGGAATAAAGACAAGTTCAAGCTGTAGGTCCAATCGCAAAATAGTAGTTAAGCTATGATTGATTCATATATCAATATATTAATCTGAATGATTGATCTGTTCTCAAGTTATTATTGATTCATAGATATCAATATTAATCTGATTGGTTGATCTGTTGTTCTCAGTGAGTAGGACCTTGCTTGGGAGACAGCCCTGATGCTGTTGAGTGAGACGACGCGTCACGACGGTCTGAAAACAGGGCGCCTTGCGCGATTTGATCAAGGCTCTAGAAATTCACTCGCATAAACCATGTGACACCCAGAATCTAGAAGGCATTGAGAGCCGAGGGAGAGAAGTTCTTAATAGTCGCTGTTTCCATATGCCCTCAGGCACCCTGTTTTCACCAGCGTCTGTCTAGTGTCGACTTATTTGTATTTTCAGGTACTGCTGCCATGTCCCAATATTTGCCAATACAGACCAGCAATGGTCGCGTGGTGTATAGTGATATGCTTCATAATTTGGGTAGGTAGAGTTTCTTGGTAGGCTCAAGATCAAAGTGCAGTAGAAGGCTATTTAAAATATTACATGCAATCAAATTATTTAGTAATAAGAATACATGCATTTTGACAATTATGTATTTTGATTTTTGACAATCTAACAGAATTTGTTTCAATGCTCAAACTTTTGAAAGCTTTGAAAACTTGAGCAGATGCATAATATGCATGAAAATCCCCATACATGTCATTAACCACTCTTCAATCACCACATTAATCACTCTTTGAAAGTCAGTTAATAAAGAATCAATGATAACTGTCTTGATTCTTGGGCATTTCCCAGGCATTGCTAACTGATCAGTGATAAAAGAAACAGATCAGTGACAACTCTGCTGCATTCTGGTCATACAGATATGGTGGTATTTCAGTAGGCAGAACTATGGTCAAGCTTGCCCATTTTTGGGAATGCATTTTCATTCCCAAATTCAAGTTTGGGAACAAAAAACCCAAACATGGAAACGCCATGTAGGCTGTAGGCATTATTTCAAACAAGAAGAAAAACTATTAAATGACATCCAAAAAATATAAAATGATCATGAACCCCCTGATATTTATATCAATATTGCTGAGAAAGAGATTGATATTGTAAAGCCCAACATAGTTTCAAATCCTTCCCCTCTATTACTAAAGCCGTCCGCCGCCCGGGCCGCGTGCCCTGTCGTACTGCGCTGTGGGTAGCGCGTGGCTGGACGGACGGTCCGTGACAACCTATTGATCTGTGGCTGATCTATTAGAGTGTCCGTCCGAGAGCCGTACGACGGCTGACAGAGCCTGGGGGTCGCGAACTGGTGTGGTAACCGTTACGCCCACCTGGGACGCCCGAGTCGGTACGGCACTTGCGGTGTCGTAACCGGATCGGCGGGAACCAGCAGAACGCTGTTGGACCGGCGGTGAAAGTCGGAACCGAGCACTCGCCCACCAGTGGGGCGTCTGGTCGAGCAGGTCTACCCGCTAAGGCAGCCTGAGCACGAACCAGTGGCAGGGTCCGATCAATGACCGTGGTCCGACCAGGGTGTCAGCGCAATGGCCAGTCAGAGGCGTCTTTAAGGGCGCGGAAGCCCACCTCGGTCGACTGTGGCCGGTGCAACCTAGTCAGGTCGTTTGTGTGAATCTCCGTGTTCTTCCATCGCCTCAGAGTAGCCGCTCTTCTCCAAATGCCCGAGCCGTTTTCTATGTGTATTGGTCTTGCAGCGAACAGCAGAGTCGAAAAACGAATTGACAATGTCGCCGAAAACCGCGGTAACATGCTGGCCGTCCCTAGTACTACCAATATGCCCGCAGGCGCGGCGAGAGACAAGCTCAACGTATGAGTCACCGTCCGGCTGCCGGGAGAGCCCCTACCGCGACCTTTGTCCACAGTCATGACGTCACGACAATGGGCTCCTAAACGTACGGGCAGCGGCCGCCTCAGGGGTGCCGCCGTGACCTTTGCACGACACGTTCTATAGCGTATGGCACAGCGGTTACTAGGAAGGTTGAGGCCAGCGGCAGGCCGGTTTACAAATAACAAACAAACTTGACGCGCAATTGGCAACAGGTAACAGATTGATTAATAAAGCGGTGACAATATAAATGAAAATGACAACATGAAATGACAAATCGCATAGATGACAAATCGCATAGATGATCCCTACAGTACCCCCTCGCCAGACATGTCGCGGACAAAAGTGACATGGCGATATCTTACCGGAGGTCGTATGACGCGGCCGGAGCGGGTCGTCCGTAGTATCGGCCGAGGCTGCAATGGTGCAGCGTCAGCCCGAGCGACGGCTGCAGGGCGATTTGGTGCGTCACCGTAGATCAGAAGCTCCGGGCCGCTGGGCTCATTGCTGAGCGGTGGTGCGGCCGGCGGGCCGCTGGACTGAGTACCGTGCGGCTGCACAGTCGGCAGGTCAGACTGTCGATGACCGGATTCGTCTGGCGTCTCCAGGAAGGCGACCTTACACCGGTCGATGCTGATGACCTCCTTTTTCTGTCGACGGTCGATGGTGATGGTTTTGGTGGTCCTTTCGGCAACCGGGAACGGTCCGTCGTATGGAGCGTCCAGCGGGTAGCGGTGACAGTCCCTGCGCACGAAGACGTGTGTCGCCGTCTGGAGTGCCGTCGGGACGTACGTGGCGCGCTGGACCGGACGTGGGAGTGTCGGCCGCACCTGAGACATGGCGCGCTTCAGGTCTTGTACGAAGCCGGCCGGTGATGCTGCTGAGGCTTGGCTGCTGGTGAAGAACTCACCAGGAAGCCGCAGTGTGGTGTTGCCGGTATTGCTGCTGTTGCCTCTGCTGCTGCTGTTGCTGCTGCTGTTGCTGCTGCTGTTGCTGCTGCTGTTGCTGCTGCTGCTGCTGCTGTTGCCGCTGTTGCTGCTGCTGGACGGTCGAATGGTGCCTTGCTGGAGCATCTTGTTGAACTCAGCACGTGCGATTTGAAGGCGCTCCGGCGGGAGGCGTCGTGGCCGCTGGTACACCGGTGGACCCTTGGTGACGATGTGGTGCGTCACGTTGTGCTTCACCGGTGTTGGTCCAGGTTTTGGTGAGGTCACATCCGGGTACCGGGCGAGGACAGCTGCGAAGCGAGCAGCAGCCTGCTCCCGGACGAGACGCACTCCGATGGAGCACAGCCTTGAGCGCTCGGCGCTGGCGCAGACGGTGCCGTCCCGCAGGAGACGCTGGTTGGCAACGTCCACGACGAGGTGATGTACGGCCAGGAAGTCGTTTGCCGCGACGAGCTGCTGGCCGACAGGAGCAGGGGTCAGTGTGGACCCGTTGGGCAGGCAGCGGCGAGGCAGCACGCTGACCTGCGCCCCGGTGTCGACTAGAAATTGCCGGTCCGTCTCCGTGTCCCTCACGAAGAGGAGTGGCGCGGCAGGAGGGGCGCCCGTGCTTTGCGCCATCAGCACGGGGCGCCTCAGTTTTCCGAGGCGATCCAGGAGCACGGCAACTTGCATCGGCGCGCTTGGGCGCCGAATCGCTGGTGGTACCAACACAGCGTGTCGTCGTGCGGCGGCGTTGAAGGACGAGCCGGTGACGGGCGGCGTGACTGGCGAGACGCCTGGCGCGGCCGGGAACGGCTGCGGTCGCGTCGCACGGCGTCCTCGAGTCGTCGGTTGCTGGCCTCCAGGCGCTCCATCTTAGCGACCAGGGAGGCGATGACGGTGTCCAGCGCAGGGGTTGCAGCTGGCGCTGGGGCTGTCACTGCAGCAGCGATGGGCGGTGCCGGCTGTGTGTACGGCTGTGCCGCGATCGCTGATAGCCGTGGGTCCGGTCCGCTAGCTTCCAGGTACCGGTCGGCCGCTTCTGCCAGTGCGTCAAGCGTGCTGTCGGCTGGCAGGAGGGCGAGGGCAGCACGGACGGGCTGCGGTAGCCGTTGTTGAAATAGGGTACGGAAGAGCTCCGTATCAACCGGGGCGTCCCCGGCTGCGGCTAGCTCGTTGCGCATTGAACGCAACAGCGCCGTCGGCTTCTGATCGCCGAGCTGTTGGCGGCCGAGCAGGGCTTGTAGTCGGTCGGCGCGTGACTGTGCCAGGCGGGCTTGGAGCGCTGCACACAGCACGTCAAAAGACCGAGATGACCGGATGACGTCCTTGACCTGGACGGCGATGTTGGCGGGGAGGTTTGCGACGAGGAGCTTAAACCTCAGCTCGTCGGAGTCGACCCCGCTGACGTCGAAAGCGCACTGCACCTGCAGTAGCCACAGGTCGGGCTCTTCCGGAGAGTATGGTGGTAGCCGGAAGCTAGCCATGGGCCGATGAGCTGACTCGGAGGCTGAAGCTGGAACGCTGGCTGGGTCTTGAGCTGCGGCGCCGGACTGTGCGCTGTCCGCGGGCATGACGAGAGGCTAAGGTCGAACAACGGAGATCACGTCGGGGTCACCAATTGTCGTACTGCGCTGTGGGTAGCGCGTGGCTGGACGGACGGTCCGTGACAAC